ACTTTGAAATACTTTTTTAAAAGTATCCCAAAGTTAAAAGTAATTTATCCATGACTTTTTTGCTTGGTGAAGGTATTTAAACTAACAAAATTGTTGGTATCAAGTAACTAACCTTGCACAAAGCCTGATTATAGCATTGCTTGCAGGAGGAACTTTCATGACCAAAATCCAAGTCTAAATTAACACCGTTTTATCACCTGCAGGCAAACCCTAAAATTGAGCTCAAATAGTTCTGACTGCAATAAAGATTAAATAAGCTCGACGAAAGTTTTTTCAATAATGGTGAACGAAATTTACATACATAATTATCTTCTCTCCATCGGGGCTTGTCAGGGATAATGAAACAAATAATTCAAATGGAGTAAAATAAAGATGAGAACCCAAAATGATGGAAAGCAAACAGTTGTCTATTTTACAAACATGGCCCAATATTTAAACACAGGAATGCTGGAAACAAATCAAGGAAGCGATAAGGGCAAGACTTAAACTCGGAACCTCCGGATTACAAGTCCAGCGTTCTAACCACTCGGTCACAGTGTCACCTTCAAATTACCTCCATCTAATTGCTGAGCAGGTGATGCTTGCACGTTTGAATTCAAACGAAGGTAGATATTACTTTTTCCTATATTGTCAATATTATTGCACAAAACTCGCAATGAGTCTTTTAATAAGAGATCGTGAGAATTGCTTTATAGTCCTTCCTTTTTTTCAAGGAAGTCGGTTGCTAAAAAACGACAGTGAAGTCCTGCTGACTGATTCTAATCAGTTTGACAGAAACTAATTTGACTGACAGTTTAACTTTAATTTATCGCAAGTTAGATGGCGGTTGCTATTTTAATTCACCCTTTATCAGTAAATTTTTGGATTATTCAAATTTTGCTCAGCTACTTTCCGAACAGCCAAGTAAGAAATTACACATTTTTTTATTTTATTGAGGTATTGTTAGTTCACCCAAGAAACCTTAATGCTTTTGTTAGAAGCAAAATATATTTCCTCCTAAATATCGTAGTCTGGTAAGGCAAAGAAAGATCCTCTGGAACAATTTGTGTGTTTTATAATCTTTAAACATTCGCATTGATATGACACAATGTGTGGCATTTGCTACAGCAAAGTGGCATCTTTCATTAGTATTCATGATCGTCACAAAATGTAGACGAGAAAATTAGCTCCTATAACCCAAGAAGAATAAATCATCAAGAAATTGCTTCCAAATAAAACGATCTTTTCATGACTCCAGTGAAGTATAATGTGCCCCAGTGGTAAGCACCAAAAGAACAAGTATCTTCCAATGTAATGATCACCGTTTAGACGAACTTTTTTTCTATCCTTTTTGAGACCTTCAGGCCTCAGAGAAAAATAATTTTATAGGACGTGTAAACTTATCGCTCACAATGAAAACGATGTTTCTCCGACATAGCCAAAAATCAGTTAATTCAAAATTAAAATTCAAAGGTAACGAGTGAAAACCATCGAGAGGTTTTTGAATCCTACTATCTTTGCAATTTGTCAGTACACTAGCTTTCCAAAAAATATATCAAACATTAATAGTATCACACATTGCTATATCTCAATGAAAGTTAAGGAAGATTTTACTTACTGACATGATTTTTTTTTCAGAAACGCTAAAAACTGAAATAATTATCAAACCACTACTAAGTGCGGCTTTCTAATTTTTATGCAGTTGCTTGATAACCCAAACATTTTGCTGACTTTCCGTTAATGGTACAACATATAATTAGCGGGGGGATCCTTTACAAACGAATTTGTCAGCGAGGATAAAAATGTTCTACAGAAAATACGTGAAGAAATTTCTGCACAAAGTTCTTGCTTACAACAAATTGTGATATAACTTGTTCCACCCACACAGTTTTAGCTAATGGTACTGGCACAAAATGACAAAAAATATATTTTAATACACGTATCGTTTTGGACACTATTTAAATAGAGCACAACGGACGCTTTTTTTTGTGGGAATAAAAACAATAACCTGCCGCTTAAACTTGAATCAGGCTGCTATAATTTATATGTTGAATAGAAAATGCATTAGCTATCACACACTGAAACGAAACATTAACATCGAGGATGAAATTTCTTCAAAAATTCTTGTCGTGAACGTTTTTCTGTTTAAAATTTAAATGAGTGCCACGAACATGTGAACTTAAGATATTATGCAAACTACCTGGTATTGAAAAAATATAAAAAAAAAATAAAAAAGGCAATCTAATACGGTTTGAATACAGATACGTGCGGCGGTGGAGAAAGGTGTGGATTAAAAAATATCCGGATAAGTGTGGACCGGGCCTGGGTTTTGAAAGTGCGAGTTTTTGGAACACGGAAATGGCCTATTATTAGAAGTGATGGATCAAAAATTCTTGTCGTGAACGTTTTCTGTTTAAAATTTAAATGAGTGCCACGAACATGTGAACTTAAGATATTATGCAAACTACCTGGTATTGAAAAAATATTTTAAAAAAAATAAAAAAGGCAATCTAATACGGTTTGAATACAGATACGTGTGGACGTGGAGAAAGGTGTGGATTAAAAAATATCCGGATAAGTGTGGACCGGGCCTGGGTTTTGAAAGTGCGAGTTTTTGGAACACGGAAATGGCCTATTATTAGAAGTGATGGATCAGGGCAGATAATGGTTTATCACCCTGGCTTGTATGGACTAAATAAGGATAGGGCGGGCCGATCTCCGGAGCTTCTATGCGTACTGTCTACACGGAGTTATTTCACCCTGGCCTCAGTTGCCAGGAAGGATATATCATGGTTCAGTTTAGGAAAGCGAACTTTGTGAAGACAGAAGTTTAATCACATTCTTTACTGGTGGCCTTCTTTGCATATGCCCAAATTTTGCTGTTTCTAGTATCGATCCTGGTAAGTCATTCAGTTGGAACTGTTCAAGTTATTTAATTATAATAGGGACCTTAAGCATCGACAACGAAACGGACGACGACGACGCTTCGCAACCGAGGCAGACTGGGCCAAGGGTTTCGTTTTCGGTGGGGAAAACGAAGTTTAAGCAGTGCAGCTTCCCAGGCGGACGACGACTTTTTCTTTGCGAAGAACTTTGTCTTGTTACAGTCTTGTTAGGGCATTCAAAGACCTCCGTAATCTGCATTTTATAAGGTATGAAGATGGTTTAATCGACGATGGCGAATTCATTGTTCTTTAGGACCTGGATTATTTGATTGTGAAGGCTTTCTCTTCGTCGCGCAGCTTTTGTTTTTGTTTTGAAATGAAGTTAAACCTGTATACCGATCTCGAACAGCTCTTGACTTGCAGTTAAGCTAAATTTCGGCTGCTGAAGAGAATTCAGTGCTGCTACAATGTTCTCCCATATTTGTCCTCTCTCAGGGCTCCTCGATCATAACCACATCATGTTCCAGCTGAGTCCACTGGAAAATAGTTGCCTTTAATAGCGGCTAAAAACAACATGGGAAATTATTAAATCTTAGTACAAAAAAATGAACATTTATCCTATAGTACAACCTAGAATGCATGAGTAAACATAGGACCGTAAGGGAACGAACAGCAGCTAATCTAAAAGGTTCGGGAGATAGCAGAGGAAAGCTTACTTGTCTGTCCGACTTGCCATCCGCCATCACTCAGGTTTTCAAACAAACGTACCGAACCTGAAAAATAAATTCAAGTTAGCAGGCGAAGAAACCGACAAAGTGTTTAACATTTGGATTCTGCTAATCCACAAAGAATATATTTCTACTTGTACTGAATGACAAGGGGGGAAAAGAGCGATTTACACGCAAAAAGTATAGTTTTATACTTACGTTTTAGCGACGACGGCAAACCTCCCTGAATTACGTCGTCGACGAAGGCTGGACGACGTTTTGACACCCTTACGCATGCCTAGAAGGTTCGCGCGGGAAAATTTCACTTCCGGTCGGCGTCGTTGTCCCATTTCGTCGTCGATGCTTAAGGTCCCTAATCACTTGACACGACGTGAATTATTTATCGGAACTGCCATTTTATGGCTTAACAGACAGGCGAGAATTCGCGAAAGCTGTGGGATCATGAGTGAACGATAATGTTCTTACGCTTGAAGAAAGAGATTTATTTGAGAACGTTCTTGAAAGCCCTGACAAAAACGATCAGTTCTTGAATATTTTAGGAAATTTAAGGATAGAGTCAAAATACTACACAATCAAGCAATCTGGCACGTGCTTTCAAAAATTTAACACAAGAGGCTTCTCAATATTCAATTGTAATATTCGGAGCTTAGGAAAGAATTTATGTCTGCTTAATGATATTTTGATAACCGTGAAGGAAATGCCTAGCATTATAACTATTTCTGAAACTAAGCTAAACGATAATAATCAGCATCTTCACAATATTAATATACCTGGTTACAATTTTGTTGGTGTGAATTCTAGAACGAATGCTGGGGGAGTTGGTATTTACATAAAACAAAACCTGAATTTTTTTCGCAGGCGGGACCTAGAGTTTTCTTCTGACGGTTTTGAAACGTGCTTTGCTGAACTACCGAGAGAAAGGCAAAAGAGTATTATTATTAGTTCCATCTATAGACATCCTCACGGCACCGCCGAAAATTTCTGCGAACTTCTTAGGCAGAAATTAAATCATTTGAACAACTGCGGTTATGAAGTGTACATAGCCGGCGATATTGACATTGATTTTTACAAATATCACAGTGATAAGTTTACTTCTGAATATCTTGATATGTTATTCGACTTGGGCTACATGCCTCTTATCACAAAAGCAACCCGGATAACCGATCACAGTGCTACTCTCATTGACCACATCTACTCAAATTCACCACAAAAAGTTTTAAAGTCTGGAATCTGCTTGGCAGATCTCTCAGATCATTTGCCATGTTTTTGTTCAATAGCCACCAAACGTCCAGATTTCGCAGGTGACAGGTATTATAGGAACTATTCAAGATTTAATGAAGCCAGATACCTAGCTGACATAGCCACGGTAGATTTCTGTAGTTTAGTTACTAATGATGTGAATGACAGTATGCCAAAAATTATTTCTACATTAGAAGGAATGACTAACAAACATGCACCCATTGAAAGAGCATCACGATCTAAACGAAAACTATTAAGAAAACCTTGGATTTCTAAAGGAATATTTCAATCTGTTAAAGAAAAGCAGCGTTTGTTTAAAACTCATTTTTTTTCTGGCGACCCCCTTAAAATTAAATATTATAAAGCTTACAATAATAAACTTACTAAAATCAAGGACTTAGCCGAGCAGAAATACTTTAAGGAACAGTTTGAAATTAACAAAGACAATATGAAAACAACATGGAAAATGATTGACTTATTAATAAATAGAAAGAGAAAAAACTGCCCTACAATAAGTAAGATAGTCTATAACGACAAATGTTATACATCTAAATTGAGCATATGTAATCAGCTCAATACATATTTTGTTAATGTAGGCCCAACTTTATCAGCGCAACTACCAAATCATATTAACTCTAATCCTACAAGTTATATTACCAGAAATTTTCCAAACAGTTTTATGTTTAGGTATATTCACTCGCATGAAGTGCGTGACTTAATTACGAACCTAACAACTGATAAGTCATGTACAGGAGTCCCTGCAAAGTGCTTTAAGGTGGCCGGAGACCACATCTATGAGGCAATGACTAAAGTTTATAATCTTTCCATAGAGCAAGGTATTGTGCCTGACATTCTCAAAATTTCCAAAGTAACCCAGTGGACAAAGGTGGTGATATCACTGACCCGACTAACTTTCGCCCTATCTCAGTACTTTCTATATTTGCACAGATTTTTGAAAAACTGGTATGTAAACAGTTAACAAGCTATGTTGAAAAATATGCCATTTTAAGTCAATACCAGTTCGGCTTCAGGAAGGGCAGATCGACTGAACAAGCCATTCTAGAAATCACTGACAATTTGAAACAAGCAATAGATAATAACTTACTCACATGCGGAGTCTTTCTCGACTTCGCTAAGGTCTTAGATACTGTCAACCATGCTATACTGTTAAATAAATTAGAGAAATACGGTGTTCGGGGAATCCCATTGAGTTGGTTTACTAGTTATCTTACCAATAGACAGCAATATGTTAGCATTGACGGTTTGGAATCTTCTAAACAAACTATTAAATGGCCGTTAACAAAACCCGGATCGGATTGCTCGGATCGGATCGGATCGGACTCCGGATCGGATCGGATCGGACTAGTATCTTCACTTTTGGTGCAGAAGAATTATTTTGACAAAAGCTGCTTTAACAATGACACAGGTGGCTCGGACATTTTCATCTAGTAAACTTCTATTCAGTCACGAAATGGAGGTTTCAGCTTTCAGATGAGTTTACTTCTAAACATGTAATCCGTGTCTGTCTGTAATACAAATCAGTGACAAGAAGATGCATGCCAACAGCAGTTCTCGAAGGACCGGTAGCTAGTAGTGGGCCGGGCTGTGTTGAACGTAGAATTTATGTGCGTTTCTGCAGCAAATAACCTTGAAAGGAAACGTGTTTAAATGCTCATGCTAATTTCTGCTGATGCACAAGTGACACCTAAAGGGCCGGATATGTTGCAGAAAACACAGAAGCGAACAATCGAAGAATCTCGTTTCACAGTATTTGTAATAAACAATTTTAATATCGTACCTTTGCTCTTCATTTTTGACGTTTCAATTGCCTCCTCTGAAAAGGAAACCGTTCAAGTAGGCTCAGAAAATAACGAGATCACTTTACAATAAAAAAAGAGAAAAGAAACACTAAATTAGTTACAGAAGATTGTATACATACTTTTCTCTCCGCCATCTTCATTCCGGGGGATGTCACGTGACCATTTTTGGCGGGAATTTAAGGCGAATTGCCAGTCCGATCCGATCCGTAATCCGATCCGATCCGATCCGGGTTTTGTCAACGGCCCTATTAAATGTGGTATCCCGCAAGGCAGTTCTCTTGGTCCCCTCCTTTTTCTACTATACATTAATGATATCCCTAACTGCTCCGATAAATTGTCCTTTAGAATATTTGCAGATGATACCAATATTTTTGTGTCTTCCTCAAATGCTGTGGAATTACAAAACTTAATTAACCATGAATTATCCAAAGTTAAAGAATGGTGTGACTTAAACAAGCTATCCATCAACTTCAAGAAAACTAATTATATGATAATTAAGTCACCTAAAAAGAAGACAAATATAACATGGGATGTAAAATTAAGTAACAATGATGGCTCCAACTACGGCTTAGAAAAGAGAACTTACATAAAATATTTGGGCGTACTTATAGATGACACGCTATCATGGAAATATCAGGTTTCTTATTTATGTACTCGAATTTCTAGAAACACAGGAATTGTTGGCAAACTCAGACACTGCACCTCCCTTTTACAACTTAAACAACTATACTACAACCTGATCTATCCCTATATATCTTATGTGATAACCTCCTGGGGCAGTGCATTTACTACTCAAATTAAAAAAATCCAAACAAAACAAAATGATGTTATCCGCCTTATGTTCTTTGT